ATTGATAAGTGTGTGGTTAGAGACGCAAGTACACAAATAATGCCTTCATTTGGACTTGAAAAAGGCTGTACTTTTTTAAAAAGAGAAATATTGTTTCAACGGAGATTGTTTTGCCCATTTGTGTATGTCCACACGGCAACCCCAGGAGCAATGGTCACCAAACAGGGAGTAGCAGCAGAACAGCAGGAGCCAATAACAGTAGCAGCAGTGAGGGTGAAACTTTAGTTCCAGAGTTGCAGAGATCACCACGGCAGAAGCAGATGAACACCTGGGGAACAGACGTGTTAATTATTAACTCTAATTAATTCTCACTCTCTCTCTCTCTCTCTCTGTCTCTCTCTCTCACCTTCTTATTGCCCACTAAAGCCTCAGCACAGCGTTGTTTGCCATCTGGTGGCGACCTCTGTAAACACTGTCGCTCCGTTGCTAAATCGTGATCTGTCAAGAAAATAACATTTGTAGCGATAACGGAATCACGAAAATAATATTAGTAGAGATAACAGTCACGATGGTAAATACTGTGAAAAATGTGCGAAAAAAATTACGTAACTCAAAACATAAATTTGTTGGTACACTTAAAAGAACTTAACATCAATTTCGACGGTTTTTAAAGCCTGTCAGCTACACGAGGGGTCTTTAAGACTGCACCGTAGCCTTTTTTTTAACCAAAAAAATAAAAAAAAAAGGGTACCTTAATCCGAAAAACAGGGATTAAAGTTAACTCTCAGCATATATACAATGGGAGAAATACACTCCTCAGGGTATATATATAATCCTGCGTATTTTTCGACGACAGTGATGGGCATATGCAAAAATATTGTTTATAATTAATGTAATCAATATTTTTCGCACATGGGATACAAGAAAATTACTTACAAAAAATTAAAAGATTTTTTTTTTTAAATGATTTCTTTGTAATATAATACGAAAGGATGAGGCGATATGATAACCATATTCAGATTTATAAAAGATTAACTTATCCAAATAAAGAGTTTTGGAACCATTATATGCTCGAACAATTATTTTATTTTATTTATTATTTTATTAACACACTGGCCGATTCCCACCAAGGCAGGGTGGCCCGAAAAAGAAAAACTTTAACCATCATTCAGTCCATCACTGTCTTCCCAGAAGGGTGCTTTACACTACAAATTTACTACAATTTTAGGCTGAGATAAAATGCAGAAGACGAAAGCAAATATTTATTTTCACAGAATAGGCTGAAATGGAGATGACGAGAAAGTAGTGTAGGCTACACCCACGCGAAGTTCATGCAATATGCATGATTATAAGATACCCCGAGCATAAAGAACGAAAAGGCACAATACCGTGACTGGAACAATACACAAACCAGCACACATGAGAGAGAAGTTTACGACGACGTTTCGGTCCTACTTAAACCATATACAAATTATTATTATTTTATTATTATTATTATTATTATCAAAAAGAAGCGCTAAGCCACAAGGTGACCATATACAAAGCGACAGACTTTGTAAATGGTTCAAGTCAGACCCAAACGTCGTCTTAAGCTCCTCTCTCCTATATGCTGGTTATCTGTGTACCCCGAGCATAATTCTGCTCCTCTGACTACAGGTAAATGTCCTGAGTAGATATCAGGTCCATCCCACCTGCCATGAATTATATTTCTTCAAGCTCAAGTCAGCTTTTCAAATAGACTATTACTCACATTATTATTTATTCTATTAAAAGCAAAGGAGTGACCATGTGTTCTTCAGCGCCTCACAACACACTTACCTTCACCATCTTTCTTGCCCTCGATGATTTTTGAGCACCAGCTAGAAGCGCAGGGCACTGCCTCGACTCCCGGCATGAGGCGAGAAGTATTGAACCTGGCCGGGTCCTTACAGTCCCCCAGTTTACCTCGTGACCTACATGAGAAGCATCGGCGAACCTGACCTGGGCATGACGAAGAAACTAAGTTGACACAAGTGAAAACTATGTTGATTGAGAGCAAAAAGCCTGTGAAAGATGCTAAAGCTAACTCAGTCATATTTTTATACAAAATATGAATCAAAATATTGATTGAGACATAGCTAACATAATCCATTAAGCAAATTCAGGCTACAAAAAAAATAGTCTATGACGGAAACCATCCCAGATTTTAAAAAGTCCGAAAGATAAGGATGGGTTTAGCACTTAATGATTATAATAATAATGAAATTATAATGGGGACGCTAAACCCTTAGGGATTATACATTGCCTGTTCGGGGGGGGGGAGGATGGAAGGTATTCAGGCTCAATTCAAGAGCCCCTCACCAGCGTCAAGGAACCTCCTTTGAGGGGAATAATAATGAAGATACGGGGGACCGGACGCAGTCATGAGCACAGTGATAGCCATAATTCTTAAGATTGTTACAACAAGAGTTCAGGTCATTTGACCTGTTCTCAAATTCATATACATTAGCCTGGTCATGGACCGGGCCGCGGGGGCGTTGATCCCCGGAATAACCTCAGGTAACCAGGTACTCCTCAGTTGCTTTCTCCAGTGCCTGTCAAGATGTGGTAACTTACCTACTTGTGGTTGCAGGGTTTAGTCAAACTTCTAGCTCACAGCCTTTTAACAAATACGACTGAATTCACTAATTCCCTGTCTCAGCCTCGGGAGTCTTGCACATAATACATTCTTCTTAATACTGTATGTAAAATCTACTTCCGCGTCTTTTCATTATCACTTATAAGTCTTTAACTTCGATCTACGCTCGCTTGTTCCTGATCCCTGCATCTGTCCCTTTCTTTTCTATTAAGCACTTGAAGCATCTAGTACATTGTTTTCACGTCTTGCCCAAACATTCTAGCCATCAGTAATCAGGTTCAGTTCTTTCAGTCTCGGTTTCCGGGACAAAACTTGAGTCACCGAAGATATGCACGACCCTATGCTTACCCCCAGGGCGTTTTTTTTCGAAGCTTGTAACTCATGTCCTCCACATAGCTGGGTAATGGGGTTTAAGAGGCACGTTAAGTTCCCCCGTCTTCTAATAACATGTTCATTTTTCCACTCTAATCTACCTTGTCCATAATTACTATCGCAAAGCTCAGACCTCTACAACACAATTGTTCTCAAATATTCGTTAAGTTATACTACGAATTAAGGAAAGATCCTGAACTTCACCTTACGAAACAGACAAAGCAAATGCAATAGTAATTATGGACAAGGTAGATTATAGTGCAAAAATTAACATGTTATTGGAAGACGGGGAACATACATGCCTCTTAAAGCCTATCCACTACACTAGGATCATTAAGGCTGTACGTAACCTTTTCACCACCAAACAAGAATACTTTAATCCCTACAATAGGTAGAGTGAACCAGAGAAAACATATTCATTATACATTTACTAGCTGTCTTACTGGAAGTGACATCAAAATTAACATGACCCTTTGAACCGCAAGGGGCTCGGGAAGTAATCAGATTTGAGTCAAGGAAGGGGAAGGTAGCCCCGACTCTTTAAATCAAGATATATACTCTAACACAGCTATAAAAACATCGGTGCACATCAATGGTGGAATACAGTTTCAACAAGTTTATTAATAAGATACCATACACGATTTATGGTGTAGTATTGAGAAGAAAAGACGTTTCGTCCACATCATTTCATGAGAAATGATCATGTCCCTGGTGAGCGAAACGTCTTCTCATTAAAATACCATATATTCTGATTTACCAAAAAGAAAAGAAAAAAAAGTACCCGCAGTTACTATAGTGTTAATCTTAAAGGTTAAGACAACTTCCTCTGTATGAGCTCTTATGTGTTGAACAGCATTTATTTCTACAATAGACCTCGGGGTTTCCAGCACCAAGGGAAAGCAAACATATTTAAATTATAACACAGCTATATAACTAACAATTTTCTCATGGCACTACACGTGCACAGAAAATAATTTGTTTCGACAGGATACCGCTGTGTTGCCAGCATCAAGACAGAGAGAGTGACCTTTATCCCCGAGGCAAGTAGCTGTAAATGTGTGAGTGGCTGCAGCCAAGGTTAACCTGTGTAGCATGTGGAATCTCACTCCCAAACACCTTCCTGCTGACTCCCTTTGTAATGAAAGTATTTATGGAGAATTGGTGAACACATGAGGCTCAGACACCGCCTGGGGAATGGGAGGTAATCAGGTCAGATCCCGGGAAGGAAAGGGTAGCTCCAATTATTCTTGGAACAAGAGCCCAATGGAAATAAAGTCCCTTTTGACTTTTTGGGGGGTTATCCTAGTAATTTATACATGTTGCTTTGTATGATAATTGTAATCACCTAAATCCGTATAACTACTTATGTGTACCTTTACCTAAATAAAGTTACTTACCCTTGAAAGATTTGTAATAAAAAATTCCGAGTACATGTATTATGCTTAATTTTAAAACTTTGACTTCTTAAATGCTGTAATTATCATCATTATTATATTCATCGGGATGCGTTGGTCGTAAACCACAACACCTAGTGATTGGGAGGGATATGGGCAATCATTTCATCCAAGGAAACCTAGGGTAACTCTAGTCCCTCAGAACAAGAGCCTTTCACCAACATCAAGGCACCAACCAACCTTGAAGGATCCGTGTGCTTGGCATCTCAAACTCCTTACAAAAAATTTTTTTGAAATATCACTGCGTTTTTAAAACGGTATTTCTAACAATTCAAAACCTCTAACATCATACATCTAACATATAAAAATCATAAATTACCCTAAAAAAAATCCCTGATATGTGCATGTTTCCCAAGGAACGCTTCCTTAAAAGAAAATTAATAAAATAATGCAGCCATTTCCAAGACTTTCACTCTCCAATCCTGAAGAAATATCACCATTGTTCCTGAAGCACTGCCTTATTTACACGCTTGGGAACTGCTGTATCATTTTTTCATGGTCACTTCAAATTTTGTTTATGAGCAAAACTCGTGGAAATCCGAAATAACTGCGTTAATTTAACATGTATGATCATTCAGTTGACATTTTATCATGGCCACCGAGTATAACAACAAACTGGCATTTTCTCTCACCTTCAGTAACATTTACAAACACTACAATCACAAGAGCACCAAACAAACATAGCTTAATCGTTCTTTGAGCCATTATCACGATTATATTAACCGGGGAACACGAGAAATATGGTTACACTTGGAGCACCGAGGTTTTCACATGCTTGTGCTGGTGTCCATTTGTGCTCTGGTTGAGATCTCCACCATATGGCTGCGCCTCTGAACTTTTCTCAAAATATTTCGTATTATTACGGATTTCGTTTGTACCATTAATACCTTATTTGCTAATATGAGTTAAATGTCTTGTACATTTTGTTTACCCAGAGCCTCCAGAAGTGAGAGTAGCTTTTTGCTATAAAATAATCTCACTTTAATCTGCTTTATGTTTTAACTTAATGTCTTTGAATTTAGGGTTGAACGAAATGATGTGAAGAAGGTCGTCTGAAGGTAAGACTGATGGAGAAGTGACTTCAGTGAGTAAGATGGTAGAAAACGAGAAGTTGTCGTTGCAGGGGGTAACTATAAGTAAGTCAGTAAATTCAGGTAAAGGCGCACATAAATACGGTAACAATAATTATCATACATAGCAGCATATGTGTAGATTATCTAGCATAACCCAAGACAGTCAGACAAAGTGACTTATATCCTTTCTAGGTGTGTTTTGTTATATCCGCGAGAAAGTTCATACACCTGCGGAATGGGAAGTAATCAGGCTTGATCCGTTGTATAATGTACTTTATAGAAATTAAGATTATTATTATTTTTATTATTATGAGTCCATTAGCAACTAGTACCCCTGAGGGTCCGGGATCGATTCCCGGCAAGGTTTGAAACATTGGGCATGTTCCTTACACCGGTTGCCCATGTTCACCCATCAGTAAAGTGGGTACCTGGGTACTCACCTCACCTGATTGTACTCACCTAATTGTGGTTGCAGGGGTCGAGACTCAGCTCCTGGCCTCGCCTCTTCACTGAGTGCTACTAGGTCCTCTCTCTCCCTGCTCCATGAGCTTTATCATACCTCGTCTTAAAGCTATGTATGGTTCCTGGGTGTTAGTGAACTGGTGTGGGTCGCATCCTGGGACAAAACTGACCTAATTTGCCCGAATTGCTCTGCATAACAAAGGGCTTTCTATACAGTAGTATGTCATTGATGTCAGCTAGGCCTGTATACCTTGTACATGTACTTGTAGAAAATGAAGGTATTATTATTATTATTTATTTATTTATTTATTTAGACAGTGATCACAGCTGGAGAAATAGGAGTTAATCAAGTTTGATCCATGAAAAGGGAGGGTAGCTTCAATTCCTTTTATCAAGAGCTCTTTGCCAGCATCAAGGTACCCCCACAGCAAGACCTTGAGTGAGTTACCTGACGATATCTTTGTACAGTATCTTATAGATCAGGGTACCCACATTAAGAGACTGATTTCCATTTTTTCCCTAGAGCAGGGTACCATGAAGAACGAGAATAATCTTCATGACATTGTACAAGTGCTAGACATAAGGCTCTGTCTGACTTTTTGGGGTTATCCTATACAATTAATACATATGTTACTAGGTATAATAATTGTACTTATGTGTACCTGTACCAAAAAAATAATAAAGGAATTTCCCAGATATTTCACTAAAGATACTGAAGTGATGGGTTCCCCATTATACTGTATATTAAAAGTATTTACCCTTTTCAATTTACTTCTCGTGCTCGAGAGTATAGCTTCTACTTTCCCGAAGTGTAGCGATAGTTTGTATGCTAACCATCTGCTGCAGGACTTTAGTTCCATTGATAGTACATTAGCTGCATCGTGTGAGTCTTTACCTGAGCATTGTCATCTGTATAAAACAGAAATTCACACTTGACACTGATTGGCATGTCATTCACATACAGAATACTCCCTCGGGAAACACCACATGCTATTGGCAGGGGTTCTCATTCTGTATTATTGACCCCCACAGTTTCTATTGACCTTGACATCCTACTTAGTTACCAATCAAGTTTCGAATCTTACTTGAGGACTCAAATGTAGTTCGGGAATCTCACAGGAATTTTGACCCCAGACTTGCAAAAGGTATTCGATACAGTTAATGATAATATATTTTGTAAGAAACTACAAGCTATCCACTTAGGTTCTGTAGACTGGTTTAAGTCTTAAATGAGCGACGGAAATAAATTGTCAAGGTCAATTATATAGAATCAGACCCCTTGTTAATAACCTGTGGGGTTTCCCAGGAAAATGTTCTGGGCTCCCTACTGTTTCTGTGTTATATAAATGATATGCCTATTGTACCTCTCGGTCGTTTCTTGTGAGCTCCCCATCACCCTTCCTCAGTCTGATTACCTGGTCCTTGACTGTTGGTTTCCTCCTGATGTGGCTATACAGCAGCTTCGGGTCAGACTTGACTTTCGATGCTATGTCATTTTCATATTGTCACTGAGCCTCCCTTCTTATCTGTGCATATTCGTTTCTGGCTCTTCGGCTAATCTCTTTATTTTCCTGAGTTCTCTGTCTTCTGTACCTTTTCCATTCTCTAGTACACCTAGTTTTTGCCTCCCTACACCTTTGAGTGAACCAAAGACTCGTTCTGTTCTTCCCATTATATCTGTTTCCCTTGGGAACAAACCTCTCCTCTGCCTCCTTGCATTTTGTTGCCACATAGTCCATCATTTCTTGTACTGGTTTTCCTGTCAGTTCCCTCTCCCACTGAATGTCTTGCAGGAAGTTTCTCATGCCTGAGTAGTTCCCCCTTTTGTAGTTTGGTTTTTCCCATCCTATTCCTGCTACTCTCTCCACTTGAAGCTCAACCATGTAGTCAAAGCACAGAACCACATGATCACTAGCTCCTAGGGGCCTTTCATACATGATATCCTCGATGTCCAAACTACTCAAGGTGAATCCAAGGTCCAGTCTTGCTGGATCATCCTCACCTCTCTCTCTGGTAGTGTCTCTAACATGTTGGTGCATGAGGTTTTCCAGCACCACATCCATCATCTTGGCTCTCCATGTTTCGGGACCCCCATGGGGCTCCAGGTTTTCCCAGTCAATCTCCTTGTGATTGAAATCACCCATAACTAGTAACTTTGCTCCCCCCATGTGTGCTCTTCTGGCCACCTCGGCTAGTGTGTCGACCATTGCTCTGCTGCTCTCATCGTATTCTTCTCTTGGCCTCCTGCAGTTCTGTGGTGGGTTGTACATTACTGCAATTGTATGTAGATGATTTTGCTCTCTTAGTCTAAGTTAAAGACTCACACGATATAGCTAATGTACTACCATAGGAGCTAAAGTCTTTCATCAAATGGTTAGACAACAAACTACTACTTCACTTAGGGAAAACAGAAGTCATACACTTTGACACAAAAAAAATAACTTTAAAAGGATCATTAATTTTACTGTACTGCTTAAAGCGGAACACATCACACCAGTACCTTTAGTGAAATACCTAGGAATACCCTGTGATCCTTGCATGTCAAGAGAAGTGACAGTGAGCAAAGTAATTAAAAAAAAAAAGGCCAGGTCTGTTCATACAGATTAATCTTCTTCATGGTACTCTCTAACCAAAATTTTAGTTAGCCTACAAATTACTGTGAATAAAATGATAAGGTTCATCCTGGGCCTGGGTCCAAGAATATCTCTCAGCAAATTTTATCACGGTTAGGAACGAAAACCAGTATCATCCGCCAGGTGGCTGACTGCAGCAGCAGCAGTGCCTTGGGCGGCCGCCAGGTTAAGATAAGATTTTGCTCGGATTTTTAACCCCAGAGGGTTAGCCACCCAGAGTATCTCAAGCAAGACAGTGTGTCATTGAGGGAATGTGTCATACTTTCATTGGGGTCCTTAAATTTTGTCCCCCCAGGAAGCGATCCACACCAGTCAACTAACACCTAGGTACCTACTTACTTGCTAAGTGAAAGGAACAACAGGTGTAAGGAAACATGCCCATTGTTTCTACCCTCCCCGAGAATCGAACCACTGACACTCATTGTGTGAGGCGAGAGTGTTACCTACCAGGCCACGGGATATCCGTGGTTGCTGACTGTAGCAGCAATGCCTTGGGCGGCCGCCATGTGGCTGACTGCAGAAGTGCCCTGGGCGGCAGCCATGTGGCTGACTGCAGCTGCAGTGCCCTGGGCGGTCGCAAGGTGGCTGACTGCAGCAGTGCCCTGGGCGGCCGCCAGGTGGCTGACTGCAGCAGCAGTGCCCTGGACGGTCCCATGTGGCTGACTGCAACAGCAGTGCCCTGAGCGGCCGCCAGGTGGCTGACTGCAGCAGCAGTGCCCTGGGCGGCCGCCAGGTGGCTGACTGCAACAGCAGTGCCCTGGGCGGCCGCCATGTGGCTGACTGCAGCAGCAGTGCCCTGGGCGGCCGCCATGTAGCTGACTGCAGCAGCAGTGCCCTGAGCGGCCGCCATGTGGCTGACTGCAGCAGCAGTGCCTGGACGGTCCATGTGGCTGACTGCAACAGCAGTGCCCTGAGCGGCCGCCATGTGGCTGACTGCAGCAGCAGTGCCCTGGACGGTCCCATGTGGCTGACTGCAACAGCAGTGCCCTGAGCGGCCGCCATGTGGCTGACTGCAGCAGCAGTGCCCTGAGCGGCCGCCATGTGGCTGACTGCAGCAGCAGTGCCCTGGGCGGCCGCCAGGTGGCTGACTGCAGCAGCAGTGCCCTGGGCTGCCGCCAGGTGGCTGACTGCAGCAGCAGTGCCCTGAGCGGCCGCCAGGTGGCTGACTGCAGCAGCAGTGCCCTGGGCGGCCGCCAGGTGGCTGACTGCAGCAGCAGTGCCCTGGGCGGCCGCCAGGTGGCTGACTGCAGCAGCAGTGCCCTGGGCGGCCGCCAGGTGGCTGACTGCAACAGCAGTGCCCTGAGCGGCCGCCATGTGGCTGACTGCAGCAGCAGTGCCCTGGGCGGCCGCCAGGTGGCTGACTGCAGCAGCAGTGCCCTGGGCGGCCGCCAGGTGGCTGACTGCAGCAGCAGTGCCCTGGGCGGCCGCCAGGTGGCTGACTGCAGCAGCAGTGCCCTGGGCGGCCGCCAGGTGGCTGACTGCAGCAGCAGTGCCCTGGGCGGCCGCCAGGTGGCTGACTGCAGCAGCAGTGCCCTGGGCGGCCGCCAGGTGGCTGCACTTGCCAGTAAACACAACGTGTGCAGGCAAATAATGGTGAGGTCGCACTCTCCACCTTCTTCCACTTATTTCACCCTTTTTGGGGCATATTTCACACTTCATTTTCAGTGTAAATTACCACCATAGAATGCATAGTGTGGCAGGAACATGTAATTAACATGTTAACCTCCATCATGGTTGTTAATGACTCCTGGCCAGCAGTTAATGAACCTCGGGAATTGTATAATTAACATTATGACGTATTTTGGAATAATTTGTGTAATTGTACACATAGGCTGTAACTGTTTGTGTAATTCGTCAGGGAAATTATTCTTAAGGTGTAAATGTAATGTGTTGTTTGCTTTTTTTTTTTTTTATTTTTAAGGCGTGAGCATCATATTTCACCATGATTGAAGGGATTTGCGGATTTATAATCACTTTGGCGTGATATTTTGTATGTCTTTTGTTATTGTTTTATCATTTATGTTCAATGTTAAACCAGAATTGTCAAAGCTGCCGAAGTATCCATTAATTTTGTAGTATTGACTACTACTGCAACAATGAAAATTTCCATTCATTTTGGTGGGGGAATTTGTGCTTTATTGCGTTATTATTAGTAGTATTTTATTATGGCTAATATCAAGATTAAAAAATATAGAAGCATATTTCCCCGTGTTATATATAGTATATAATGTTAAATTGGGGGTTGTGGCCCAGGAATAAAGTACACCCAGGAGGATAGAAGTCACTGAGTTTTTTTGGGTTATCTGAGGTAATTTACACCATAAGTTTATTTAGGCAAGGGTACACATATGTACAGTTATTATGTATGTGTAAATTACTTAGGCTAACTCCAAAAAAATCTGACTTGTTTCCATTGGGATCCTATTTATGATAATTGTGCTTATAATAATAATTTCTGCAAGTACATATACATAGTGTACAGGCCTAGCTGACATCAATGACATACTATTATATAGAAAGCCCCTTGTTATGCAGAGCATATTGGGCCAGTTAGGTTAATTTTTGTCCTCAGGATGCAACCCACACCAGTTGACTAACACCCAGGCACCTATTTTACTGTTGGGTGAACATGGACAGTAGGTGTATAAAGGAAACACATCTAAAGTTTTCCATCTGTATCGGGGATTGATCCCCAGACCTCAGTGTGTCAGCTGAGTGTGCTAGCAATCAAGCTACAGGACCTGTGCCCATGCCTCAATAAACTTATTCACATTTTTTTTTCTTAATGCTAGTGATCTTGTTGATGTTAGCAAGTCATCCATTAGTTAGGGCATATCTTCTTTATTTTCATACCGGTGAAGAGTTGGCCTATTTCACAAAAATATCAGCAAATGCTAATCTAGTCTAAAATAAATCTCAAGTCGATATCTGGTGAAGTCGCCAAATTTGCACATTACATGATGTTAGTGAGTTATCTAGGTGGTAGTTAAGTGACTTTGTAAAATATAACTGCTAGTTATCTAACAAAGTAATTTAGGCATATTTTAGGTTAGACTCGTAGCATAATAGGACCGGAAATCATTCCGACTTTTTTGGGTTGTCCTAGGTAATTTACACTGTATGTTAATTGTACTTACGTGTACCTCTGCCTAAACAGACTAGTTTTTTTCAGCATAATTCAACATGCGTTAGCCGTGATGCCATGGACTTCAAATGCTGTCAGGTCAGCAGAGTTTAAACCCTGCTAGATATCCCACAGTGAGAGGTAGCCAGTTATACACATACCTTTTGGCAGACAGGACAAGGCTGCCTACCTGTTCTCAATATACAAGTTTACTGCCTCAGTGATTAACATTTACCACCTGTACTCCACTTAAGGACCCTTCCCAACAGTTTAGGTTATATTATTAAGTTAGTACTTACTTGCTGATCATCTTAATAAATTTATACCTGGGAGAACTCCTCACCCATAGAAAAATATCGGAAACTTCTGATCCACGAGATGACTGGCATTTCTTAAGCGATAATGCTAGATAATTTGCTGTTACATGTTGACAAGATGCTGAACTTGCTGCCTGGGTAACTCATTGATGTCAATACCTTGTAAGGTCAATTACTTAAAAGGGTGGTTACCTTGTTAGATTTTTTTTTTTTTCCTTGCTAAATCATTCTTATTAATAATTTTGATAAACATTGAGTTTTGCCACACATAAATGAAGTATAGAAGCAGAATTTAGTTTTCAGGCCATCACTAGGTGATAGAACTTATATTCTGCATACTACATACATCCTCTCCTCACTTAGCGACATACTCGTTTACTGACCGCTCGGACTTGTGACCAGCTTTCCAATGAGTATGCAAACCTAAGTAATGTATATTAGTACTAATTTCCTCTATTCTTTTTATTACAGTATACTACTGTACACTATTGTATAAACATTTAAAAATATATTAAAAGTGTTATAAATGATGCAAAGGTAACATTAGAAAAATATTTAAAGATGGTTGACACAAACCCATTACCAGTACAGTATACTCCTCGCTTATCGACCAATTTGCTTACTTGACCTACTGTTGGGAACAGAACCCAGTCATTGAGGAGTGGCTGTTTATCATATATGGCCAAACCACATGTGACTACGTATTCATTCAGTGTGGCTCATCGAGACAATATTCAGAGGCAAACCAGGGTATTGGCACTTCATCTGCACTGAATGAGCATGTAAACCACACACACACCACACTTGTCACTTTCAAACATCTGGTTTATACATATACAGTACATATTAGTAATAATAATCTACAAGTACTGTACATGATAAAATTTGTACATTACAGGTATTTCATAATGGCTCTAGGGATCATTGTCATCAAGGCGATGATCCCTAGTGTGAAGGCTTACTCAGCCCTGTAACAACTTCAGTAAGTATTATCAAGGCTGGCTCCTCCTCAGGAAAATTAATGAATAGAAAAAGAATAATAAGTCAAATATAAACACTTAATTATTTAGAAATGAAAATATAAAAAAAATATGAATTTTTTTGTCCTACTTGAAAGGGAAATGAAATATAAAAGTATCTGAATTCAACACTAATATATACAGTTAGACTGGGGTGTCCGATGTTGTTGACACCGCATGTTGTAGAAATTGTAGCCGTTGCTGATGATGGGGGGGGGTCACAGATGTTGAATGACAACCCAACGACTAGTTCTTCACAGAGTCTCTATTCTTGAATAGTCCGTCAAGATGATAGGAACGCAGGTCTTTCACCACTGCAAAGATGAGAGGTAGTTGCCTGGGGTTGACTACACTTGGGTATGCAGATAAAATGGTGACATCTCAGAACTTAGGTAAAGTTCGTCTCCTTCAAGACTGTTTCTTTAGTTGCCAGATGACCCGAGCTGACATTCCAAGCTAGAAAGAGAGAAATATTTAAGTACAATATTTAAAAGAAATGGTGATTATCTAAAAGCATATCATGGAAATCAAGGCTGAAAGGTCTAAGTTTATTATTCGTCAAAAGTGAAGCTTTCAACCAATATATCTACTAGAATAGGAGCAGAGGCTTTTACTTAGTTGTGCTGGGAGCTGTGAGTCAAGTGATTACTGTTTGGTCCGAGCCCCACACGTCACCTCTCCGGGTGGGGAAAAAGGGAGGGGGGGATAGCGGGAGCTAGATTGACCCTACCTTAACAAGCAGCCGGGCAATCAAACTATCATCACCCATGTACTCGCTCGCTACTCCTATCTGTTGAATTTTTCCCTCACACTAGTCTCATTTCAGGACTTGCTACTGGCCTAAGAACCATTAAGAAATACTTTGGAAAGTAAAACTGAGTTCTGTATCTACTGAATACAGTGGACCCCCGCATACCGTTGGCCTTACATAACGTTAAATCCGCATACCGCTACATTTTATCGCTAAGATTTTGCCTCGCATACCGCTAAAAAACCCGCTCAACGCTGTTCGTCCAAGACGCGTCTATGTGCAGCCTGAGCCATGCTCACATGTTTCGCCGGTGGCATTGTTTACCAGCCAGCCTCCTCGGTAACATCCAAGCATACAATCGGAACATTTCGTATTATTACAGTGTTTTTGGTGATTTTATCTGCAAAATAAGTGACCATGGGCCCCAAGAAAGCTTCTAGTGCCAACCCTACAGCAATAAGGGTGAGAATTACTATAGAGATGAGAAATAAGTCATTGATAAGTATGAAAAGTGGAGTGCGTGTCTCCGAGCTGGCAGTTGTATAATAAACCCCAATAACCATCGCTACTATTGGTGGTACAGCTGCTGCTGCTGACTGCTGTAGCACCGTCAGCTGCTGCTGCTGTTGTACCACCGTCAGCTGCTGCTGCTGTCTGCTACTATTGCTGCTGCTGTAGTACCATCTGCTGCTGCTGTAGCAGCGTGCTGCTGCTGTGCATCGTCTGCTGCTGCTGTAGCATCGTCTGCTGCTGCTGTAGCACTGTCAGCTGCTGCTGTAGCACAGTCAGCTGCTGCTGTAGCACAGTCAGCTGCTGCTGTAGCACTGTCAGCTGCTGCTGTAGCACAGTCAGCTGCTGCTGTAGCACTGTCAGCTGCTGCTGCTGCTGCTGCTGTACCACCGTCAGCTGCTGCTGTAGTACCGTCTGCTGCTACTGTAGCATCGTCTGCTGCTGCTGTAGCACTGTCAGCTGCTGCTGCTGCTGCTGTACCACCGTCAGCTGCTGCTGCTGCTGCTGCTGCTGCTGCTGCTGCTGCTGCTGCTGCTGCTGCTGCTGCTGCTGCTGCTGCTGCTGTTGCTGCTGCTGCTGTAGCACAGTTGTTGGTGTGGCTTATTGAGAATACCAAGAAATAATTAACCCCAGAGGATTTGCCACCCAGGATAACCCAAAAAAGTCAGTGTCATTGAAAACTGTCTAACTTATTTCCATTGGGGTCCTTAATCTTGTCTCCCAGGATGCAACCCACACCAGTCGACTAACACCCAGGTGAACAGGGAAAAATGCCTGGAACTAGTGCTCATATTGGTGAATTTAAAGCCAGCAAAGGTTGGTTTGAGAGATTTAAGAATCGTAGTGGCATACACAGTGTGATAAGGCCTGTTCTGGAAGAAAATGCCAAACAGGACCTACAGTACTCAGGAGGAAAAGGCACTCCCAGGACAGTGTCTCATCAGTCATTGCTGCATCTTCAGTAAAGGTGTCATTTATTCTTCATTTAGTAGAGTAGTACATGCACAATATATATTGTGCATGTACTACTCTACTATTGTGCATGTATCCTTCTATTTGTGTGTAGGAAAATGTATATTTCATGTGGTAAATTTTTTTTTTCATACTTTTGGGTGTCTTGCACGGATTAATTTGATTTCCATTATTTCTTATGGGGAAAATTCATTCGCATAACGATAATTTCGCATAACAATGAGCTCTCTTGCACGGATTAATATCGCTATGCGGGGGTCCACTGTATTAGCAGTCCTACCAGATTGCAAAACATTTAATAGGCTTCTGTTTCATGCTTGTATGACAAGAGAGTAGTACCTCCCTTGAGGATTGCTCATTCCAATTTACTATCCGCATAATTGTTTTTGTATAGAAAATAATGATTTCGTGAGTTTTAAGGTTTTACAGGTTACTACAGAAGCAGACAGATTTTGCAGTTGTCCATAAATATTGATATAAATTAAGCTGCCTGATTATAGCAACTGAATAGATGACATGCTAAGTTATTTTATAAATATCAGACATCACAGTTTTCAATAAATACTTATTCCTTCTTTCAGGGTAAGAAGGGCAAAAGATTCATCGATAAACGACGCGATGCCTTGCACATGTTTAAGGTTGTGCCTCGCAGTCAGCGAGATCCGCTGATTGCCGATGAGACTGCTCCACAAGCAGTCCTACAGCCAACTGAAGAGGTAATTGGTTCTAATGCATTAATTTTTGACTAGGTTAACCAAAGGCAAGAATTCTTCATCCTGTGAAAATTTATGTTGTTCCCACAGGAAAATTCTTTTTTTAATAGTTTAAGAGAAATTCAAATTATAATCATTGCATTATATACTTATATTTGCTGTCATTAGATGATCCAGCAAAGCAACATTAGTGTGATAGTACTGTTGATTAATTACTTCACTTAGTGCCAGACTGTTACAGTTCGTTTATTTATTTATTTTTTATTTAGACATGATACATAGTTGTACAATGAAATATAGTGATTGGGTGTACATGCCAAAAGCCCCTTGTATGCAGAGCATTATGGGCAGGCTTAAACTTAAGATTAACTAAGCAATGATAGATTCAGTGGTAAAAATTACAGTAAACAAATTACAACATGAAGTGCAATTTTTTTTTTTTTTTTTATTAACACACTGGCCGATTTCCACCAAGGCAGGGTGGCCCGAAAAAGAAAAACTTTCACCATCATTCACTTCATCACTTCATCACTGTCTTGCCAGAAGGGTGCTTTACACTACAGTTTTTAAACTGCAACATTAACACCCCTCCTTCAGAGTGCAGGCACTGTACTTCCCATCTCCAGGACTCAAGTCCGGCCTGCCGGTTTCCCTGAATCCCTTCATAAATGTTACTTTGCTCACACTTCAACAGCACGTCAAGTATTAACCCTTTCAGGGTCCGTCCCGTAGATCTACGGCTTTACGTTCAGGGTCCAAACCGTAGATCTTCGCCATGAGCTCAGCTCACTCTGATAAACTGTGAGTGGTACATTTGGGCCTAGATATGAGAGAATACATCTATGTGGTATGTGTGCACCACATAAAACAGATCCTGCAGCACACTGTGTATAATGAGAGAAAAAAAAATGAAATCATGATTTTTCGATTAAAACAGCAACTTTGCAGTGTTTTTTCGTATGTTTTTTATAGTTGTATTTGCGATTTCTTGGTCTCATTTGATAGAATGGAAGACATATTACAGAAATAGAGATGATTTTGATTGGTTTTAGCACTGGAAATGGCTTGAAACTGAGCTCAAAGTAGCAGAAATGTTAAATTTTTGCCGATATTCAAGAGTAAACAAACGACCTCACACGTCTAATACACATCAGCTGGTGGGTCTAATATACATTCACAAATATGGTGACGATATTTATACAATTATTACAGTATTGCATAACAGTAAATCTTCTATTTTTTGGTGTGAATAAAAATTCATTATGTGAATAAAAAATCAAAATGGAATTTATTTGTAAAGCCTCAAAACATAACTAATGAACAGAGGAAATGTTAGTTTAGTGCCAGGAATGCCTACATTGTTCATTCTGGACCCTATTTTGAAATTGGAATATTTTGAACTTTGTGTTAATTGGCCAAATTAACAATTTCCGATCACTTTATTTTGTAGTTGAAACAGTTGACTTGGCGATTTCTTGTGCTCAATCGATAGAATAGAAGTAATACTAGTGAAATAGCTAAGAATTTGGTTGACTGGAATAATGTAATTGGCCTAAAATGGGAGTCAAAGTCGGCAAAATCGCCGATTCGTAAATATCGCTGACACATCAAAATTCGCGAGAGCATAATTTCGTCAATTTTCCACCAAATTTCGTACTTTTTGTTTTATTACCTTCACAAAAAGATTCTCTACGATTTCATAAGAAAAAATAACAAATTTTTTTTTTGAAAATTCTTGGACACTGGTGCGTGACTCCAGATTTGGGCCTTGGACCCTGAAAGGGTTAAAAACCATTTGTCTCCATTCACTCCTATCAAACATGCTCACGCATGCCTGCTGGAAGTCCAAGCCCCTCGCACACAAAACCACCTTTACCCCCTCCCTCCAACCTTACCTAGGCCGACCCCTACCGCGCTTTCCTTCCACTACAGACTGATACACTCTTGAAGTCATTCTGTTTCGCTCCATTCTCTCTACATGTCCGAACCACCTCAACAACCCTTCCTCAGCCCTCTGGACAACAGTTTTGGTAATCCCGCACATCCTCCTAACTTCCAAACTACGAATTCTCTGCATTATATTCACACCACACATTGCCCTCAGACATGACATCTTCACTGCCTCCAGCCTTCTCCTCGCTGCAACATTCATCACCCATGCTTCACACCCATATAAGAGCGTTGGTAAAACTATACAGTGGACCCCCGGTTAACGATATTTTTTCATTCCAGAAGTATGTTCAGGTGCCAGTACTGACCGAATTTGTTTCCATAAGGAATATTGTGAAGTAGGTTAGTCCATTTCAGACCCCCAAAACATACACGTACAAACGCACTTACATAATTGGTCACATTAGGAGGTGATCGTTAAGCGGGGGTCCACTGTACTCTCATACATTCCCCTCTTTGCCTCCAAGGGCAAAGTTCTTTGTCTCCACAGAGTCCTAAGTGCACTGCTCACCCTTTTCCCCTCATCAATTCTATGATTCACCTCATCTTTCAAATAAGAAGCATTAAAGTTGTACAAATTTGTAGCATGACAATGTATAATATAATATAATCAAATCAGTTCCTCCTACTAACCCTTAAACTGTCCAAATGTAGATCTATGTTCACGTGCATAGTGCTCCAAACATAGATCTATGGGTTTTTTATACATGCTTTCAGTTGAAGAAAATAAAGGTCGGAGCGCTACGCACATAAACGTAGATCTACACTTGGACAGTTTAAGGGTTAAAATTTTAATTTGTAATAAATAGGGCTAAACAGATTATTGGTCAGATAAAAAAAAAATTTATTCTTACTCTTAGTTAAGATGGAGGGAAGAATGGTAACCTTTTCCTGTTGATCAGCCGCTGTTACACACGTGGCTTATGAGAGAAGAATTCTAACCTGTTTTTTCCATTGGGTGGAAACAGAGATGGAGTGAAAACAAAGAGCTGTACAAGTTTGAGAAATTTACTTGGTCACATTGGAGCAGACAGGTGATTAATGTACAATGAGTGTAATTGGGAGTCAGAATGCGCAGAATAACAATAAATTTTCTTATTGACAGACCCCTCAGAAAGCAGAGCAGCAGAAGTATGGAATCTTCTTCGATGATGACTACAACTACCTGCAGCACTTGAAAGGTGTTCGTGAAGCTGTTAATTGGGATGAAGAGGAACTGGAGGTGTACACCATTCGAAGAGAAGATCCCCAGGTTCCTATTCATTTTCACTTGTGCACTTTCAAATCTTTGTACTTTATGAAAATTTTGAAAATATCTTGGAGCTTTAGATATGAAAAAAATTCATTAGAAACATTGCAAGATTAATGAAAAAATGAAGCTGCTTTAATGCTGAATAATTTAAGATAATGAATTGATTGTTGATGCATTCTTTTAAGGGGTCAAGACTCTATGTCCAGTACTACAAATAAATTAGATGCATTGAATAGTAACCATAAATGAATGCTGCTCTTGACTTGTGAATTCATTATTTTAAGAAAGTACTAGTGGGCATTGTTATTCTTCATCTTTATTTTCCAAGTATGGTACTGTATCTTGTAAAATGTTATCTGTAATAGAAAACTTCTAATTTTAAACTTAATTCTCATCCTCTAATAATGAAGAAAGGAAATTGTTGTCCTTGATATTACAAGAAGATGCACACCTTCAGTTACTTTATATAGTTAATATCAGTATTTAACTGCTTAAATCCTTTAACAGTTTTTCCTAGTTTCAAGCAAGTACCCTTATGCACTTTCTTGCAATAATTCTACTAATTTTATAATAAATTTGCCATAACTTTCAGTTGGGTAAGAAAGAGTTGCGTGGCAAGAAACTCTTGTTGCCATCCTCAGCATTCGAGTCTTTCATAGAGGAACCCATAGGACTTTTAAACAAAGCTGCCCCTGTCACAGGTTTGTCTATGTATCTGAAGTATGACTGATGTTGTTTTAACATGTCTCATAACATTTGTGAAGTATTCAAGGAAAACAGCTATCCAGACTTGAGTCCTGGAGGTGGAAAGTACAGTGCTTGCACTCTGAAGGAGGGGATGGGGATATGTTTAAATTTTTGAACTGGAGTATTGGCACACCTCTAGCAAGACAGTGATGGAGTGAGTTATAAGGATAGTTTCTTCTTTTTGGTTGAAAATGGCCAATGTGTTAAATAAAAACACATCATGCATCTGAAGCTTTTAATTGCTATATTGTCTGCAATTGCATAAGTAAATTTTTCACTTTTTTTTTTACATGTTTTCTCATGAAAGTAACCACCTGGTTGTTATTGGTAGTAAGTTGAGCAAATTTTGGGGATGGTTTTTTTGAAATCTTTATTTTGATGGGTGCATTATAAATCCTGTAAATGTTTATACTTCAGTATAGACTATTCAGCATTTTGGGTAGAATTAGCTGATAAAAAAAAAACTCATTTTGAGTATGGTATACCTGTTTCTTCTTTTGCATATAGTTTAAATTTTTTTTTAACACGTTGGCTGTCTCCCACCGAGACAGTGACCCAAAAAAGAAAAAAAAACTTTCATCATTCATCACTTTCACCATCACTCATACATAATTACCAAAAAGGCACAATACCATGACTGGAACAATACACAAATAAACCGCACATAGGAGAGAGGCGCAGTGCTCCTCTTTCTTAGTCTTTGACTTACTACTACTGCTGCCGCAGCCGACGCCACCACCACCTCTACCACTACCTCTCTTCTTCCTTTCCTACTGCCTGTCTTGTCCCATCCCTGTCTGCTGGCCTATATATACTCCCTCCTCTCCTTTTAGTTAGTGTGACTTTGTAAATGGTCTAAGTTGTACCAAAACATCGCTGTAAGCTCCTCTCTCCTATGTGTGGGTTATTTGTGTACTCATACATAATCACTGTCATTGCAGAGAATCGGATGCAACAGTTTAGATGTCCCTCCAAACTGCTAATATCCCAAACCCCTCCTTGAAAGTGAAGGCATTGTACTTCCCATTTCCAGGACTCGAGTCCGGCTAACCAGTTTTCCTGAATCCCTTCACTTGTCAGGCCCCAAAAACCATTCACTCCTATCGAACACCTTCACGTACGCTTGCTGGAAGTTTCTTAAATATATATACAGTGGACCCTCACCTAACAAACGCATCGCATAACATTAAATCAGCTTAACGAAGCGTTTGAGCATCAAAATTTTGCCTCGCCTAACGATAAAAAACTCGCCCAACATGATTCGTCTGGGACCTGTTCACATGTGGCCAGTGTTTACAAGCCAGCCAGTGCGGTCGCATCTACGCATACATTCAGTACATTTCACCTTATCCCAGTGTTTTTAGTGCTCGTAACTGCAAAATAAGTCACCATGGGCCCCAAGAAAGCTTCTAGTGCCAACCCTGTGGTAAAAAGGGTGAGAATTAGTATGGAAATTAAGAAAGATTTTGAAGAGTTTTGGGCTAACCCTGAGAAGCCTATGCCAGTTGTGGAATCCACTGTGCCTACTTCAAAGATTAAGGAAATGTGTGCGAAGTGGGTTGAAGTGGAAACTTTTATGGATGAAAATCACCCTAACATGGCTATTGCAAGCCGTGCTGGTGACTATTACAATGACAATGTTGTGACCCATTTTAGGAAAATCTTAAAGGAATGCGAGGTACAGAGCTCTATGGACAGATTTGTTGTGCAACAGAGGCCCAGTGACTCTCAAGCTGGTCCTAGTGGCATTAAAAGAAGGGAAATAACCCCGGAAAAGGACTTGCTACCTCAAGTTATCGTGGAAGGGGATTCCTCTTCCAAACAATAACAACTTCCACCATCTCCCCTCCTCCCATCCCATCAGTCATCACCAGATCTTCAATAAAGGTAAGTGTCATGTATTCTTTATTTAGTACAGTAGTAATTGTGCATATCGTCTTCTTTTTTGTGTGTAAAAATGTATATTTCATGTGGTAAAAATTTTTTTTTTCATACTTTGGGGTGTCAGGAACGGATTAATTTGATTTCCATTATTTCTTATGGGGAAAATTAATTCAGCTAACGATAATTTCGGCTAACGATGAGCTCTCAGGAACAGATTAATATCGTTAGACAAGGGTCCACTGTATGTATGTGTATATACGTATATACGTATGTACGTATATACGTATATACGTATATACGTATATACGTAGGTTGGTAGACAGCAACCACCCAGGGAGGTACTACCGTCCTGCCAAGTGAGTGTAAAACGAAGCCTGTGATTGTTTTACATGATGGTAGGATTGCTGATGTCTTTTGTCTGTCTCATAAATATGCAAGATTACAGGCATGTCTTGCTACTTCTACTTACACTTAGGTCACACTACACATACATGTACACATTTATTTATACACACTCATCTGAGTTTTCTTTGATTTTATCTTAATAGTTCTTGGTCTTATTAATTTTCCTTTTATATCCATGGGGAAGTGGAATAAGAATCTTTTCCTCCGTAAGCCATGCGTGTTGTAAAAGTCAACTAAAATGCCGGGAACAATGGGCTAGTAACCCCTTTTCCTGTAAAGATTACTAAAAAGAATAAGAAGAAGAAAATTGTCAAAGTGGGAAGTCTGAATGTGCGTGGATGTTGTGCAGATGATAAGAAAGAGATGATTGTGGATGTTATGAATGAGAAGAAGCTGGATGTCCTGGCTTTAAGTGAAACAAAGCTGAAGGGGGTGGGAGAGTTTCAGTGGAGAGGAATAAATGGGATTAGGTCAGGGGTTTCAAATAGAGTTAGAGCTAAAGAAGGAGTAGCAATAATGTTGAAGGATAAGCGATGGCAGGAAAAGAGGGACTATAAATGTATTAATTCAAGGATTATGTGGAGTAAAATAAAGATTGGATGTGAAAAGTGGGTTATAATAAGCGTGTATGCACCTGGAGAAGAGAAGTGTAGAGGAGAGAGAGAGATTTTGGGAAATGTTGAGTGAATGCATGGGGAGTTTTGAATCAAGTGTGAGAGTAATGGTGGTTGGGGATTTCAATGCTAAAGTGGGTAAAAATGTTATGGAAGGAGTAGTAGGTAAATTTGGGGTGCCAGGGGTAAATGTAAATGGGGAGCCTTTAATTGAGCTATGTGTAGAAAGAAATTTGGTAATAAGTAATACATATTTTATGAAAAAGAGGATAAATAAATATACAAGGTATGATGTAGCACGTAATGAAAGTAGTTTATTAGATTATGTATTGGTGGATAAAAGGTTGATGGGTAGGCTCCAGGATGTACATGTTTATAGAGGGGCAACTGATATATCGGATCATTATTTAGTTGTAGCTACAGTTAGAGTAAGAGGTAGATGGGGAAAAGAGGAAGGTGGCAACAACAAGTAAGAGGGAGTGAAAGTGTATAAAACTAAGGGAGGAGGAAGTTCGGGTGAGATATAAGCGACTATTGGCAGAAAGGTGGGCTAGTGCAAAGATGAGTAGTGGGGGGGTTGAAGAGGGTTGGAATAGTTTTAAAAATGCAGTATTAGAATGTGGGGCAGAAGTTTGTGGTTATAGGAGGGTGGGGGCAGGAGGAAAGAGGAGTGATTGGTGGAATGATGAAGTAAAGGGTGTGATAAAAGAGAAAAAGGTAGCTTATGAGAGGTTTTTACAAAGCAGAAGTGTTATAAGAAGAGCAGAGTATATGGAGAGTAAAAGAAAGGTAAAGAGAGTGGTGAGAGAGTGCAAAAGGAGAGCAGATGATAGAGTGGGAGAGGCACTGTCAAGAAATTTTAATGAAAATAAGAAAAAATTTTGGAGTGAGTTAAACAAGTTAAGAAAGCCTAGGGAAAATATGGATTTGTCAGTTAAAAACAGAGTAGGGGAGTTAGTAGATGGGGAGATGGAGGTATTGGGTAGATGGCGAGAATATTTTGAGGAACTTTTAAATGTTAAGGAAGAAACAGAGGCAGTAATTTCATGCACTGGTCAGGGAGGTATACCATCTTTTAGGAGTGAAGAAGAGCAGAATGTAAGTGTGGGGGAGGTACGTGAGGCATTACGTAAAATGAAAGGGGGTAAAGCAGCTGGAACTGATGGGATCATGACAGAAATGTTAAAAGCAGGGGGGATATAGTGTTGGAGTGGTTGGTATTTTTGTTTAATAAATGTATGAAAGAGGGGAAGGTACCTAGGGATTGGCAGAGAGCATGTATAGTCCCTTTATATAAAGGGAAAGGGGACAAAGAGACTGTAAAAATTATAGAGGAATAAGCTTACTGAGTATACCAGGAAAAGTGTACGGTAGGGTTATAATTGAAAGAATTAGAGGTAAGACAGAATGTAGGATTGCGGATGAGCAAGGAGGTTTTAGAGTGGGTAGGGATGTGTAGATCAGGTGTTTACATTGAAGCATATATGTGAACAGTATTTAGATAAAGATAGGGAAGTTTTTATTGCATTTATGGATTTAGAAAAGGCATATGATAGAGTGGATAGAGGAGCAATGTGGCAGATGTTGCAAGTATATGGAATAGGTGGTAAGTTATTAAATGCTGTAAAGAGTTTTTATGAGGATAGTGAGGCTCAGGTTAGGGTGTGTAGAAGAGAGGGAGACTACTTCCCGGTAAAAGTAGGTCTTAGACAGGGATGTGTAATGTCACCATGGTTGTTTAATATATTTATAGATGGGGTTGTAAAGGAAGTAAATGCTAGGGTGTTTGGGAGAGGGGTGGGATTAAATTATGGGGAATCAAATTCAAAATGGGAATTGACACAGTTACTTTTTGCTGATGATACTATGCTTATGGGAGATTCTAAAGAAAAATTGCAAAGGTTAGTGGATGAGTTTGGGAATGTGTGTAAAGGTAGAAAGTTGAAAGTGAACATAGAAAAGAGTAAGGTGATGAGGGTGTCAAATGATTTAGATAAAGAAAAATTGGATATCAAATTGGGGAGGAGGAGTATGGAAGAAGTGAATGTTTTCAGATACTTGGGAGTGACGTGTCGGCGGATGGATTTATGAAGGACGAGGTTAATCATAAAATTGATGAGGGAAAAAAAGGTGAGTGGTGCGTTGAGGTATATGTGGAGTCAAAAAACGTTATCTATGGAGGCAAAGAAGGGAATGTATGAAAGTATAGTAGTACCAACACTCTTATATGGGTGTGAAGCTTGGGTGGTAAATGCAGCAGCGAGGAGACGGTTGGAGGCAGTGGAGATGTCCTGTTTAAGGGCAATGTGTGGTGTAAATATTATGCAGAAAATTCGGAGTGTGGAAATTAGGAGAAGGTGTGGAGTTAATAAAAGTATTAGTCAGAGGGCAGAAGAGGGGTTGTTGAGGTGGTTTGGTCATTTAGAGAGAATGGATCAAAGTAGAATGACATGGAAAGCATATAAATCTATAGGGGAAGGAAGGCGGGGTAGGGGTCGTCCTCGAAAGGGTTGGAGAGAGGGGGTAAAGGAGGTTTTGTGGGTAAGGGGCTTGGACTTCCAGCAAGCGTGCGTGAGCGTGTTAGATAGGAGTGAATGGAGACGAATGGTACTTGGGACCTGACGATCTGTTGGAGTGTGAGCAGGGTAATATTTAGTGAAGGGATTCAGGGAAACCGGTTATTTTCATATAGTCGGACTTGAGTCCTGGAAATGGGAAGTACAATGCCTGCACTTTAAAGGAGGGGTTTGGGATATTGGCAGTTTGGAGGGGTATGTTGTGTATCTTTATATGTGTATGCTTCTAGACTGTTGTATTCTGAGCACCTCTGCAAAAACAGTGATAATGTGCGAGTGTGGTGAAAGTGTTGAATGATGAAAGTATTTTCTTTTTGGGGATTTTCTTTCTTTTTTGGGTCACCCTGCCTCGGTGGGAGACGGCCGACTTGTTGGAAAAAAAAAAAAAAAAGGGGTTGTAAAAGAAGTAAATGCTTGGGTGTTCGGGAGAGGGGTGGGATTAAATTATGGGGAATCAAATACAAAATGGGAAGTGACACAGCTACTTTTTGCTGATGATACTGTACTTATGGGTGATTCTAAAGAAAAATTGCAGAGGTTAGTGGACAAATTTGAGAGTGTGTGTAAAGGTAGAAAGTTGAAAGTGAACATAGAAAAGAGTAAGGTGATGAGGGTATCAAATGATTTACATAAAGAAAAATTGGATATCAAATTGGGGAGAAGTATGGAAGAAGTGAATGTTTTCAGATATTTGGGAGTTGACGAATCAGCAGATGAATTTATGAAGGATGAGGTTAATCATTGAATTGATGAGGAAAAAAAGGCGAGTGGTGTGTTGAGGTATATGTGGAGACAAAAAACATTATCTATGGAGGCAAAGAAGGGAATGTATGAAAGTATAGTAGTACCAACACTCTTATATGGGTGTGAAGCTTGGGTTGTGAATGCAGCAGCGAGGTGGTGGTTGGTGGCAGTGGAGATGTCCTGTCTAAGGGCAATGTGTGGTGTAAATATTATGCAGAAAATTCGGAGTGTGGAAATTAGGAGAAGGTGTGGAGTTAATAAAAATATTAGTCAGAGGGCTGAATGGGTTTGTTGAGGTGGTTTGGTCATTTAGAGAGAATGGATCAAAGTAGAATGACATGGAGAGCGTATAAATCTGTAGGGGAAGGAAGGCGGGGTAAGGGTTGTCCTCGAAAGGGTTGGAGGGAGGGAGGGGGTAAAGGAGGTTTTGTGGGCGAGGGGCTTGGACTTCCAGCATCTGTGCATGAGCGTGTTAGATAGGAGTGAATGGAGACAAATGGTATTTGGGACCTGACGAGCTGTGGGAGTGTGAGCAGAGTAATATTTAGTGAAGGGATTCAGGGAAACCGGTTGTTTTATATAGCTGGACTTGAGTCCTGGAAATGGGAAGTACAATGCCTGCACTTTAAATGAGGAGTTTGGGATGTTGGCAGTTTGGAGGGATATGTTGTGTATCTTTATACATATATACTTCTAAACTGTTGTATTCTGAGCACCTCTGCAAAAACAGTGATTATGTGCGAGTGAGGTGAGTGTTGAATGATGATGATAGTATTTTCTTTTTGGGGATTTTCTTTCTTTTTGGGTCACCCTGCCTCTGTGGGAGATGGCCGACTTGTTAAAAAAAATATATATATAGGCTGAACATAAAAGGCACTATAAAGAATGTAATGTAATTGGTTTTATTTGTACCTTTCAGGTCCTCGGCCCGAGTTAGATCCAGATGTTGTGGCTGGGTTAGATGATGACTTTTTTGATGAATCAGAGGTTCAAAATCCTGATGACGACGACGCTCTTCCGGACAACTTTGTAGTTATGCTCAACTCTGAAAATCCTATTCATGAATTAGAGGATGATGGAGAATGGGAAGATTGTGAAGATGACGATGATATTTGGGGAAATAGTAGGGAACAAGATGGAGAAATGCCAGGACTGGAAGAAGTAGATAGTGGCTTACAGTATCTTCCTTCTTTGTCTAAGCTCAGGTTAGCAATTTGCCTTGTTTAGTGTATTGACATTTTAATGTTAATAGTGATGGAATAACTTGTGAATTTCACTAAAGTTCTTCTGATGTTTGGGGATAAGTTGAAACTCATGAAATGTATTTCATGAGTTTCATGTATTTCATGAAGGAAATAAATGGTATAAAATTCCACCACAATGGAAAAGTAGACACATGCACTATGATGCAATCCTTTATTGACTAATGTTTCACCCAGACAGCAGGCTTTGTCTAGTCACAAACAGATCTATCTGAGCAGAGATTGTGTTTACCTGGAGTATACCTGGAGCAGGATTCGGGGATCAGTGCCTTTGCCGCCCAGTCTGACCAGGCCTCATAGGGAGCGTAGTGATGTGAAGGGACAGTTGAGGAATGTTGAAGTTGATGGATGAGAAGAGGTTCAATTTGAGGAGGATATGTTCAATATGGGCCAGTAGGTCTATTGCTATGTAGGCTGATGAAGTTTCCTGGGAAGTTGTTTAGTTATGTAAAAGCCGTTCTGGTTGAAATTGTTTGATAAGCAGATAAGTGATGATTCCAAGATCCTGCATCTCTGGGTGTGGTCTTCCCTACATCCACCACAATCAGACATCATAAGTAAGGGACACCACCAGGTCTAATCCTTTGCAAAGATTAAAACTAATTTTAAGTGGATGAAACATCCTAAGACTCCAAGCACGTTTCGGAACACCAATACACCAGCAGAATGGACGACTTGAGGAATGCCTGTGTTTTACACAAACTCCCACAACTATTTAATTAACTACAGAAATACAAGGCTTGTAGCCAAGGAAGAAGAAACTCGTACACAAGATCATAGAACCATCACCACTCTACATATCTAACAGTTTCAACCAGAACAACGGTTTCTACAACATAGCTGAACCTCTTGCTTGGAAGCTTTATTATCCTATATAGCAATAGGCTTATTGGCCCATGTCAATTCTTTCGGTAGACTTTGATGAAAGTTTCAATGATTAGTGTATAAGTTTGGGAAGGCGTATAAAAAAAGGAAATTAAAAGGAAACAAAGAAAAGAGCAAGGTGATGTGAAATTGGCAGGACAGAATAGAAAGGAAGTGAAAGCATGTTGATATCTGGGAGTTTCCATGATGGCACACAAGTTTATGGAAATTGAGGGGAACCATAGAATGGATACAGGGAAGAAATAGGTGAGAGTTAAGGTATTTGTGAAGAGAAGGAAGTTTATCAATGGAAGCAAAAAAGATGAATGTACTGTACCAAAGTATAGTAGTATCAACACTTTTTCACTATGGGTGTGAGGCATGGGCTTTAAACATTGTGGTGAGGCAGAGGCTAGAGGCATTGGAGTTGTAAGTTTTTGAGAGCAATGTGTAGTGTTAATATTATGCAAGGAATTCTGTGCATTGAAATTAAAAACAATATGGGGTTACACAGGGTATTATTCAGAGGACAGAGGAGGAACTATTAAGATGGTTTGGGTATTTAGAGAGGATGGACTAGGGTAGGATAAGAGGATGAAAGGAATGAGAGGGTTGTACCAATAAGGGTTAGAGGAAGGGTGTGAAGGTTAAACAGTGAAGGTTTGAATCTTGTTTAATTGAGGAGTGGAGATAGGTGGCTTGAGGGATTTGATATAATGTTGCAGTGTGAGCAAGGTAACATTTATGTGAAGGGATACAGGAAAAACCAGTTAGCTGGACTTCGGTCTTCAAAGTGTAAAGTGCAGTGCCTCTGAAGGAAGGGAAGGGATGTTACAAGTTTGGATGGCCATTTGAAATGTGATGTCTGTACAATTCTGGCAGGACACCTATTGAATGAATGGTGCTAGTGTTTCCTTATTTTTGGGTCACCCTACTTTGGTGTGAGATGTCCACTGTTAGAATTTTTTTTTTCTTTATTTTATGTTAGTGGTTCTGAGGATTATCTTCCTCACAGCATAGTCTCAATTCAGGCCTCATAGAATGGAAAAGAAATATTGCAGAATAAGAACTATTGAGCACATCTGAAAGTAAAGGTACGTGTACACTGAGAGTAAGTAGAAGTTTGTAAGATTTACCTCTCATCCTGCATGTTTGAGACAAAGAAAAAGATCAGCAGTCCTGCCAGAGTACAAAAAAATTTCCATTTCACACACATTAGACAGAACAGTAGTACCTTCCTGAATGATTGCTGTCTACCAGCCTACTACCATCTTTCATGTAATTTTTAACCCTTAAATGGTCCAAACGTATATATACGTTTTTTCAACATCTGAAAGTATGTAAAAAAAATGTAGATCTTTTTTTGTTTTACATTTGAAAACGTGTAAAAAAAACTTTTATCTACATTTTTTTTTGTTATATTTGAAAATATGTAAAAAAAAGTAGATCTACTTTTGTAGCAATACGAATTTGAACGTCGATCTGTTTGGACCGTTTAAGGGTTAAACATAACATAAAATGTGTGTACATTATTCTGCTTTGGCATATATTCATAATCACTGGGTGTGTAGGTATGCAATAAGCATTGCTAAAATTTCAGTGCATATAGAGAGAGAGCACAGGATGAAGGGTATGATGCTGATGAAGAAGAACGAGACTTCAGTAGCGATTTCAACGACAGCGATGATGAAGCAAGGGATGATATTTGCAGCCTTGATGGTCCATCCAGAACCTTCAGAGATGAAGAGACTAAATCTCACTTCACAAATTATTCACTCTCATCATCAGTCCTCCAGAGAAATGAGTTACTCTCCACATTAGATGACTGCTTTGAGGAGAAGGTAAGGTTTTTCTTATAAGGAAAAAGAATTACATTTGCTCCAACAAGTTCACAGGTTTCTTGCTTTGTGGAATTTGATTCTCAGACAGATCTATTAATGGGTAACCCTTGATTAGATTAGATTATCCGTGGGTTTTGTGGCACTATTCTTGTGCTTGAAGGCCTTTTCATGCCCAAATCTCTTCAGTCTTGTCATTCTTTCTTACGAATATCAATATTACTAGATTTAGGTAATATATTAGAGATATTGGCAGTTTGGAGGGATATGTTGTGTATCTTTATTGCGTATATGCTTCTAAACTGTTGTATTCTGAGCACCTCTGCAAAAACAGTGATTATGTGTGAGAGAGGTGAAAGTGTTGAATGATGATGAAAGTATTTTCTTTTTGGGGATTTTGTTTCTTTTTGGGCCACCCTGCCTCGGTGGGAGACGGCCAACTTGTTTAAAAAAAAAAAAGAGAGAAGGTTTCTAAAGCACAGAATAAGCACAAATCTTTAAAAAAAAAAAATGATTAGGAAGATATAATATTGAACTTACATCTTCTACAGTTAGTGAAATCTCTAGGAGCTTGACCCCTGGGGTCAGTTTTACAGTAGTGTGTGCCACAAAATATGGTACACTTATATAATAAGCATTACAGTATTTATTACGGACGTGTATCAAGAAACTTTTTTTTTTTTTTACAGTTTATTCGAGAGTACCAAGACGAGCATGTTGGAGCCTTAGATGGTGAAGATATTGAAGGGTTCATAGGAGAGGAGTCTCCTCTTTTCCAGCAGGTTTTGGAACAGTCGCACAAGCAGCTGCAAGAAGACTCTGAGGATGACCGCACAAGGATCATAAAGTGGATTAAAGACATGCAAGAGAGACGAAGTAACGTCAAGGAGGAGAAAGACGAGGTGTGGAAACTTGTTTGCTGCAAAATCTTAAGTCGTGTGATCGTATCTTGTGTTGTCAGTGTGCAATTTAAATTAAAGTTTTTCACTTTGATTACAAAGTGCTCCCATTTCCATTAAGACACAGGGGACCAGAATTTGGTTCCATTAGTGTTGTGCATTTCTGTTAAGGAGCACCATCGCAGGCAGGAAGGAGATTCGTCATTATGTGTTGGGCAACTCGGTTGTTTTAGTAGTGCAGGGAAGAGTGTGAGTGTAACCCACTCACCCCTGCATTTAGCAGGGGCGAGTGGGTTACATCAGATTGAGTAGAGAAAAATGCTGTTTTGGAGTTTGACTTGCTATTTGGTGTGCGAGTAACATAACAGATGTAAAGAGATTCAGGAAACTGGTTAGCCAGATTGAGTTCTAGTGGTAAAAAGTATATTACAGTGGGCCCTCTAATTTTGTGATTAATCCGTTCCAGAGAGTGTGCCGAAAGTCAAAATTCACAAAAATCAAAACCATTTTCCCCATAAGAAATAATGTAAATCCAATTAATCTGTTCCAGACACCCAAAAGTATTAACAAAAAATAGTTTTTAGAGATTATTAAATATAGATTTACATACAGAAAAGAATAACAAATCAATATAAAGCAATAATAAAATGTACAAATGAACATTTAGCAACACTTACCTTTACTGAAGACTTGTTGGTGTATGGAAGATGAGAGGAAGGGAGAGGGAGGAGAAGTTACCATTGTTTGGAAAGGGAATCCCCTTCCATAAAGACATTAGGTACCGAGTCCTTATCCAGGGTTACTTCCCTTTGTTTTTTAATGGCACTAGGACCAGCTTGTCACTGGACCCCTGTCACACAAAAAATTGTTCCAGAGAGCTCTGTTTCTGGCATCTCTTTAAGATTTGCCTAAAATGGAACAAGGCAGTGTCATTGAACATGTTGCAGACATGGCCTGCAACAGCTTTGTTAAGGTGATATTTCTCCACAGAACTTTGCAACTCATTCCACTTTGCACAAATGTCCTTAATCACTAAAGAAGGCACCTTCTCCCTCTCTCTTCCTCCTCCTCTGAAGCAGTTCCTCAGCTGTGGTCTGTTGCTGTTCCAGTCTTTTAGCTCTTCAGTGGTTAGCTTTTCACTGTGGTCATCCACCAACTCTTCCACATCCTGACCACTTGCATCCAGCCCCATGGACTTTCCCAAGCTACAATAGATTCCACAACAGATGTAGGGTTGTCAGGTGTGTGTGGGGAAGTACCCTGGCTGGTGTGTGGGGAAGTACCATGGCTGGTGTGTGGGGAAGTGCCGTGGCTGGTGTGTGGGGAAGTGCTGTGGCTGGTGTGGGAAAGTACCCTGTCTGATGTGTGGGGAGGTACCCTGGCTGGTGTGTTTTCTTGAATTCTATTGTGTTTCTCACCTTTATCAAAGGGCTTGCACTAGCAGCTTTCTTTGGGCCAATGGTAGCTTATTTAGCAGTCACACACAATGAACAAACACAAAAAATAATGTATTACGAAATGTTTTGTATGAACGCGTAGGGTGATGGTCATTCACCGAGAAACAATGCCAGCCTGACTCTGAACGGTGTGTGGTAGGCTGTGTGTGTGTGTGCGGCCCACTGGGACATGTTCCGTACGACTGCCAAATTTAGATGGAAATCACAAAAATAGAGGCTGGATTTTGACGAAAAAGTTGCCGATAATCAAAATTCACGAAAATAGAGACTCACGAAATTAGAGATATTACTGTAATTTCATTTTGAAGAATGAATGGGGATGTTCTGGTTCATGGGAAAGTCATTTGACGAGTCATGTCTGTACACTTCTGGAAAGATGGAGAATGAGTGATAGTAAATACTTTTCCTTTGGGTTACCCTTTCTTGGAAAGAAAAGATTATATATGTACCCTTTAATGGGAGTTTCCCTGGGACAGCAGACCCTTAGTGATATTTTATTTCTTCAGTTGGAGATTTCAGATGATGAACCTAGGGAGAAATGGGACTGTGAAACCATTCTGACAACTAATTCAACTCTTTATAACCACCCCCGGACTATTACTGATCCACCACGCCGCAAGAAGATTGCAGTTGATCCCCGAACTGGTATTCCAATAGATCATGGAGTTGGTGGATTGACAAGAAGGAACCTAGCCCAACATGACAAAGTTGGGGGTACAGGTATTTAATTTTGAAAGTCTTAATAAACTTAAGGTTTGACATATGTTAAACCTTCTCAACTAGTACTGTAATATCCAGCTATGCAAAGCTGAAACTGTGTGCAATATATCCTTTTTTGAACAGTTTTGATGGAGAAGTTGTTAACATCATCTGGGGTATAAGAAATAATAGCACTTGTATATTTATTTTTAAATTCCATGGTAAAGCAATGAATAATTGTGATTTTAATAAGTACATGGAGGCAAAAAATGGGATTGTATGAGAGTATAATGGTACCAACACATTTATATGGGTGTGAAGCATGGGTTATAAATGTTGCAGCGAGAAGGCAGAAGGCAGGGAAGATGTCATGTCTGAGGTCAACTTGTGGTGTAAATACATGTATTGTGCATATAATTCGTAATCTGGAGATTAGGAGAAGGTTTGGGATTACTAAAAGCATTATCCAGAAAGGGTGGAAAAAATAGTAGGGAGTATAAATCTGTAGTGAAGAGAAGGCAGGGTAGGCATTGCCCTAGTTAAGGTTGGAAGGAGGGGTTATAGGAGGTTTTGTATGCGAGGGGCTTAGATGTTCAGCAGACTTGTGTAAGCATGTTAGATGGGAGCACAGGCAAGTGACATGATTTGGCAAGCAGTTGGAGTGTGAGCATGGTAACATTTATGAAGTGATTCAGGAAAACTGTATAGCCAGACTCGAGTCCTGGAGGTGGGAAGTACAGTGCCTGCACTCTAAAGGAGGGGTGAGGAAATTGCAACTTAAGAGGGGCATCTGAACTTTAGTATCGTCTCATCTTTGAAAGGCAAGACAGTCATGGAGTGAGTGATGGTGAAAGTGTTTTTTTTTTTTTTTTTTTTTTTTTTTTTTTTTTTTTTTTTCTTCTCTCCAGATTGTCACACATTAGTGAGAAAGAGCAGGTGTATTACAAAAAATAAATAAGTACAGTAAATATAGACATAGCATCATTGTTATGAACCACTACCATGGAGTATAATACAATTCTTTGTAACTGTTATTACATTGAAGGTTGGAATTACATATACAGGGTAGGCATTTTTACTGGATTACTGGTAACTTTTGTGGCAGTGCTAATAAATTTCTGCACACTTTAAATATAGCAAAATCAAATGACTTTTAACCCTTAAACGGTCCAAACGTATATATACATTTTTTCAACATCTGAAAGTATGTAAAAAAAATGTGGATCTTCTTTTTTGTTTTACATTTGAAAACGTGTAAAAAAACTTTTATCTACATTTTTTTTATATTTGAAAATGTGTAAAAAAAAAGTTGATCTACTTTTGTAGCAATACGAATTTGAACGATGATCTGTTTGGACCGTTTAAGCGTTAAAGACAAGAAAACTCTTTTTCATCTATATTTTATATTTGATAAACACTTTAGGACCTGTTTGTTGTCTTGTATTTTGTAATATATATTTTAGTTGTATGATTGAGCTTAATGTATGCAGTACTGTAATTATTTGTTCTTCAGATGATGCACAAGTTGATACTCAGACATTGATTACAAGTATGTCGGCAATCTCCATCCGTCCCCCTGGAGAGACCTCTGATGAGCGGAGGTTTAGGAAGAAAGCTTTAAAGGAACTTCGAAGGGTAAGACAAAGGCCAGTGGGAAATGTTCAGATATTTGTTCTCTATTTTTTCTTTTTAATAGCAAATGCAAATTGCTAGGCATTAAATTGATGTGTGTGATAAAACTAATATGCACAGCATGTGGGGAGGGTTAAGAATTTTTAGCAGTAAACTGTAAAGGGAATATTATGCAACAACAATTTGCCAGTAAAATCTGCTTAAACTATGATTACTGGGATCATTCTACCTTTTTTCTACTTTTGCTTAATAGTTTCGGATGTCATGATTTATTTGGCTGTGTTATATTGAACAAACATGCCCACTTGTTCTTGATTCATCAGTAGTATAGATCCTATCTTTGTCTATTCCCTGGAATATTTTGCATGTTGTGCTCAAATCTCCTCTTGGTTTTTATTCTTTCCATATTCAGAAATTTATATAGGAGAAGGGGTTACTAGCCTCTTTCTACTGGCATTTTAGTCACCTCTTATGACACACAGCTTATGCTAATGGGTGTGTGAGACAGCAAAAATCAGAACCAGTGATATTGGAGGGTAGTGTATGAGAAACTTTCAGTTTTATGGCAGTCTGCTGATCCTGTTTCTCTCCATTATATTAACTCAGCTGCTGCCTCTAGTCTCAGCCACAGGAAAAATTATTCATCTCAGATTTCACTCTCCAGCACTCCACTACACATACAAATTGCCTGTACAGCTTTTATGCATGATCTATGCATGAGGGGTCGATAATATCTTGCTTAGAAGAGGAGGGTTTTGTTGGTCGCACAACAAACATCGATACAGAAAGCGTAACCAATGACCCTTGTCTTACTTTCTCCCTGCCTGCTAAATATTGTCTCCCACACTTTTCTTTTACCTCGATTATCATTTATTTCTGGTATATTCCTGTTTGGTGTGATGGGTTCCTATTTATTTGGTACAGTTTGGTCAAGAAATCTATAGTTGTAAATTAGAATTGCTAAAACATGACATTCGGATTTTTTCTTGGTTCTTTTGTGGATCAAATATACTAATGTGTGCAAATACTCAAACATGTTTTGTTGAACAAACAAAATAAAAAAGAATCAAACACTCGTAGAACAGTTAGCAGGTGTGTAGGTATTTCTTTGTTTTTATCCAGCAGCTGGGCGATAGACTTCTAGTTAGTGCACAGTTAATTAAGAGGACATCCTCTCTATGTATATATACATCAGTTGATTATCATTTGATGTGTATTTCACAGTGGCAATCCATGAAGTTGTTGGTGAGGTAGCAGAGCTCAAACATGAATTTGATTTGTTGGAAAAGACTGTTACAGAAAGGAATGGAGACATTTTGACTGTTCTGCAGGCAACAGCTGACTTAAAAAAAAAAAAAAAAAAAAAGCCTGTTCACAGACAAAATCTCTCTAGAATTACTTTCTGCCATTGTCTTTTTCACTACTTGTTGTCTTTGTGCTGTTTATAGCAGTGAAATTTATTTATGCACATTTCATTTGTTTTTAGGGTATTTACTCTCGCACAAAAAACATAAGTGTATTTAGCACAACTTGGGTAAATGGACACATTTGCAGAGTCCTTAATATTGTATATCTAGGCTAGATTTTTTCTCTTTAGAAGCTTAGTCAAACTACTGATGTTTAACTGAGATCTTGGCCAGTAAAACAGCCTAGAAGTGAAATGCATTAACCCTTCCAGTGTCACATCCCGTGCCCGCAAACTTGGTCCCAGGATCTGGGAATTCCAAAAAAAAAAAAAAAAAGAAAGTGATAAAGAATATTTTTCCTAAGGTAATGAAACCAAAAGTACAAAATTTGATGGAAAACATATGGAATTATGCTCTTGCAAAGTGATCTCAGCATTATTTATGCATTGGCAATTTCACTCGCTTGATGCTCTATTTTTTGGTCAATTTCAATGTTCCAGTTGACCAAACTTGTAGCTATTTCACTAGTATTCTTTCTATTCTGTCAATTGAGCACAAAAAAATGCTCATTTACCTATTTCAACTACCCAATAAAGTGATAAGAAATCTTTAATTTGGCCAATTTCATACAAAATTCAACAATTACCCTATTTGAAAATAGGGTCCAGAATAAACAATGTAGACATAAACATTACCTCCACTCCTTAATCACGTCTCCAGGCCCCTCTTACATTACGCTTGCTTTCTATTTTGAATTTTTATTCACATAAAAAGTAGAAAATTTACTTTTATGCAGACTACTGCATTATTGTAATAACTGTATAAATAATGTCAGTGCATTCCTAAATGCATATTAGACTGGCCAGTTGGATGCATATTAGACAAGTGACATCATTTGTGTACTCTGTGATATCAGCAAAAATTGAACATTACTGCCACTTTGAGCTCAATTTCAAGCTATTTTCAGTCCTGAAACTAATCAAAATCATCTCTGTTTCTGTAATATATCTTCCATTCTATCAAGAGTGACCAAGAAACCGAGAATGCAACCATAAAAAACATACAAAAATACACCTCACATTTGCTGTTTTAAACCAAAAACATGGTGCAGTTTTTTTCTGATTATGCACTGCATGCTGCATGATTTTTTTATATGGTGAATACTTACCGCATAGACCCATTCTCTCATATCCTGTAACATGAAACCATGAGCTGAACTCATGGCATCATGTTATGGGACCAGCACTGGCTTCAAAGCTGTGATACAACAGGACTGACTCAGATACGCTGTGAGCGGTAAATTTGGGCCTAGATATAAGAGAATGGGTCTATGCAGTAAGCGTGTACTATATCAAAACAAAAGTTCTGCAGAACGCAGTGCATAATGAGAAAAAACTGTGACTGTGTTTTTGGTTTAAAACTGTGAATTTGCAGTGCATTTTTGTATGATTTTTATCTTGTATTTTTTGTTTCATTTGATAAAATGGAAATTATATTACAGAAAGAGGTGATTTTGATTAGTTTCAGGGCTGAAAATAGGTTGAAGTTGAGCTCAAAGTAGTGGAAATGTTCAATTGAAGCCAATATTCAATAGTAAACAAATCTTGTCACCTATCCGATGCATGTCCAACTAGTAGGTCTAATATGCATTCACAAATGAGCAGATATTATTTATAAATCTTCTATTTTTTTTGTGACTAAAAATTCAAAATGGAATTCATGTGTAAAGCCTGGGAACATAACAAATGAATAGAGGAAATGTTACTTTAGTGCCAGGAATGCCTACATTGTTGATTCTGGACTATATTTTGAAATTTAATATACAGTGGACCCACGAGTCTTGTGATTAATCCGTTCCAGAGAGTCTGCCAAAAGTCAGAATTCACGAATGTTGAAACCATTTTCCCCATAAGAAATAATGTAAATCCAATTAATCCATTCCAGACACCCAAAAGTATTAACAAAAAATTATTTTTTTTATAGATTAAATGTAGATTTACATACAGAAAAAAATCAAGTATAAAACTAACATCACACTTACCTTATTGAAAACTCTTGTTGGTGTATGGAAGATAGGAGGAGGGGAGAGGATGGAGAAGTCACTGGACCACTGTCGCACAAAAAAACTGTCCAGAGAGCTCTTGCAGCTCTACCCTTTACCACCATCACTACTACCCTCTACCACCATCACTACTACCCTCTACCACCATCACTACTACCCTCTACCACCATCACTACTACCCTCTACCCCATCACTACACCCTCTACCACCATCACACTACCCCTACCACCATCACTACTACCCCCTTACCACCATCACCTACCCTCTACCACCATCACTACTCCCCTTTCCACCATCACTACACCCTCTACCACCATCCTACTACCCCCACCACCATCACTACTACCCTCTCCACCATCACACACCCTCTACCACCACAACTACCCTTCCCCCCTCACTATACCCTCTACCACCCTACTTCACCCTTACCACCTCACTACAACCCTTACAAACCCTCACTACTACCCCCTACCCCACACTACTACCTCACCCCACACAAAAACCCCCCCCTACCCCCCATCACAACCACCCTCACCACCACAAAAACCCACCCTCTACCCCCATCCAATCTACCCTCTTCCACCACACTACTTAAAAACCCCCTACCCCCAAACCACCCTCTACCACCATCACTACCACCCTCTACCCCTTTTACTAAAACCCTCTACCCCCTCCCTTTTTTTTTTTTTTTTTTTTTTTTTTTTCAAACAATACACTGACTCCTGAATGTTGTGTGGGAGCCTTTGTGTATGCCCAGCCACTCCCAGCCACACAGACGCATTCCGTACAATGGATGAATCGCGAGGAAAATCATGAACCATGTGGATTTAGTTTGACAAAAAAAAGTTGCTGAAAGTCGAAACTCAGAAAGCACGAGGCTCATGAAACCAAATTACCAATTTCTGATCACTTTATTGGGTAGTTGAAATAATTGACTGGGTGGTTTCATGTGCTCATTCGATAAAATGGAAAACATACAAGCGAAATTGCTAAGACTTTGGTCGACTGGAACAATGTAATTGGCCTAAAATAGGACTTAGTGGGCAAAATCGTTGATGCGTAAATATCGCCGACAGCAAAATTTTCTAAAGCATCATTTCATCAATTTTCCATCACATTTAGTACTTTAGGTTTCATTACCTTTGGAAAAAGATTTTCTTTCATTTCATAAGAGACAAAAAAAATTCTTGGACACTGAGAGCAATCCTCAGATCATGGGTCGGGGCAATGAGGGGGTAATTGCCTACGAACATTGATCTACAGTTATCATCAGTACCAGTATTCATACAAATTATTTAAATCAATCATTTTTCTCATTTTTTACCAAATGCAATAATACTTTGTGTACATTCATTTTTTTTTTTTTTTCCAACAAGTCGGCCGTCTCCCACAGAGGCAGGGTGACCCAAAAAGAAAGAAAATCCCCAAAAAGAAAATACTTTCATCATCATTCAACACTTTCACCTCACTCACACATAATCACTGTTTTTGCAGAGGTGCTCAGAACACAACAGTTTAGAAGCATATACGTTTTATTTTACACAACACATCCCTCCAAACTGCTAATATCCCAAAAAAACCTCCTTTAGAGTGCAGGCATTGTACTTCCCATTTCCAGGACTCAAGTCCGGCTATATAAAAATTACCGGGTTCCCTGAATCCCTTAACTAAATATTACCCTGCTCACACTCCAACAGCTCGTCAGGTCCCAAATACCATTCGTCTCCATTCACTCCTATCGAACACACTCGTGCACGCCTGCTGGAAGTCCAAGCCCCTCGCCCACAAAACCCCCTTACCCCTTCCTTCCTACCTTTTCGAGGACGACCCCTGCCCCGCCTTCTCCTACAGATTTAAATGTTCCCCATTTCATTCTACTTTGATCCATTCTCTCTAAATGACCAATTTTAAATGACCATGTTCATTTTATATATGTATAAAGAGTCTATGAAAGATGAGGTGAATCATAGAATTGATGAGGGGAAAAGGGTGAGTGGTGCACTTAGGAGTCTGTGGAGACAAAGAACTTTGTCCTTGGAGGCAAAGAGGGGAATGTATTAAAGTATAGTTTTACCAACGCTCTTATATGGGTGTGAAGCATGGGTGATGAATGTTGCAGCGAGGAGAAGGCTGGAGGCCATGGAGATGTCATGTCTGAGGGCAATGTGTGGTGTGAATATAATGCAGAGAATTCGTAGTTTGGAAGTTAGGAGGAGGTGCGGATTACAAAAAACTTTTTGTCCAGATGGTTGAGGAAGGGTTTTTTGAGGTGGTTCGGACATGTAGAGAGAATGGAGTGAAACAGAGTGACTTCAAGAGTGTATCAGTCTGTAGTGAAAGGAAGGCGGGGTAGGGGTCGGCCAGGAAGGTTGGAGGGAGGGGGGAAAAGGAAGGTTTTGTGTGCGAGGGGCTTGGACTTCCAGCAGGCATGTGTGAGCGTGTTTGATAGGAGTGAATGGGACAAATGGTTTTTAATACTTGACGTTTTGTTGGAGTGTGAGCAAAGTAACATTTTTGAAGGGGTTCAGGGAAACCGGCAGGCCGGACTTGAGTCCTGGAGATGGGAAGTACAGTGCCTGCACTCTGAAGGAGGGGTGTTAATGTTGCAGTTTAAAAACTGTAGTGTAAAGCACCCTTCTGGCAAGACAGTGATGGAGTGAATGATGGTGAAAGTTTTTCTTTTTCGGGCCACCCTGCCTTGGTGGGAATCGGCCAGTGTGATAATAAAATAAATAAAATAAAAGAGTTCATGTTGTTTCATTAGAGATTGATCAGGAAGCATAGATTTAATATTCATGATTCCCAACTTTTGACCAGCTGACCCGATTGAGGCTTGTCATATATACTTTTGAATTCATTTATAGAGAGAGCTTCTGCTCTTATTGTTCAATTCTCACCGCTTCTTAAGGTCTCTTATGATGAAGTAGTTGCTGATATGTGTGGCTTATTTAGACCTGTAATTTTCAGCAATGTTGTTAGCAGTTACCACGTTCATACAAAAGCAGTGACATTGCAGCTATTTGATAAATACATATTTTTTATATCTATATGACAAACTTTCTTTTTGCTTTCTTAAAATCCGATTCTTTCATTGGCTCGCCTGTTCTGTACAACACTTTTTTTCACAAACCCATCTGATGACATCAGCTTCCTTATATCAACATATTCACCACCTCCAAATTCTTTCCAATCACTTTTTTTTTCATTTCCTCTGTCCTGCTTTTCTCTTATTACCTTGCTCTTCTTTGTATATGTATGTACATGTGTGTATGCTACATATATTTTTACAGTATATTTTTGTGTATTCATTTTATTATAGCTTATCACATAAGTCTGTCAATTTTTAACTTGTATTACATACGATAAAAGCCACCAACCTTTATCTTGTGAAGGCAAGATGAAATTTGCTTGTTATTTTTATTATTCCAACACAATGATGCTCTGTTCTTCTGTTTTATTTGCTGTCACCTTGTTCAAATTTCTTATTAGCTGTCTGTATGTTCAGAATGTTCTAATAATTCCAAATCAGTACAGTGTATGTAACCAACATTCTCCAAACACGTGCAAATATTTCCTGCACCTATACGTTTTTTTGGTCACTCGACCTCAGTGGAAGACAGCTAGCATGTTTAAAAATAGATATATTTAGGAGGGTGTGTAAAGATGGAAAATTGAAGGTGAACATAGATAAGAGTAAGGTGATGAGGGTATCAACAATTTTGATAAAGAAAAATTCGATATCACATTGGAGGAGAGAGTATGGAAGAAGTGAACATTTTCAAATATTTGGGAGTTGACTGTTGGCAGATGGGTTTATGAAGGATGAGGTTAACCATAGAATTGATGAAGGAACAAAGGTGAGTGGTGCATTGAGGTATCTGTGGAGACAAAAAACGTTATCCATGGAGGCAAAGAAGGGAATGTACGAGAGTATGGTGGTACCAACACACTTATGTGTGTATTGAGCATGGGTAGTAAATGCTGCAGTGAGGAGGTCGGCTGGAGGCAGTGGAGATGTCCTGTCTAAGGGCAATGTGTGGTGTAAATATTATGTAGAGAATTCATAGTGTGGAAATTAGGAAGTGGTGTGGAGTTAATAAAAGTATGTCAGAAGGCTGAAGAGAGGCTGTTGAGGTGGTTTGGTCATTGAGAGAATGGAACAAAGAATGACTTGGAGAGCGTGTAAATCTGTAGGGAAAGGAAGGCGGGGTAGGAGTCATTCCCGAAAAGGTTGGAGAGAGGGGGTAAAGGAGGCTTTGTGGGTGAGAAGCTTGGAACTTCCAGCAAGCATGCATGAGCATAATAGATAGGAGTGAATGGAGATGAATGATTTTTGGGACCTGATGAGCTGTTGGAGTGTGAGCAGGGTAATATTTTGTGAAGGGATTCAGGGAAACCAGTTAGCCAGACTTGAGTCCTGGAAATGGGAAGTACAATGCCTTCACTTTAAAAGAGGGGGTTTGGGATATTGGTAGTTTGGAGGGACATCTGAAATGTCGTATCTATGCACCTCTGCAAAGACTGATTATGTATGAGTAATGGTGAAAGTGTTGAATGATGAAAGTTTTTTTTTTTCTCTCTCTCTCTCTCTCTCTCTTTTGGGGTCACCCTACCTTGGTGGGAAATGGCCAACATGATTAAAAAAAAAAAATATGTATTTCTAATATATCCTGTTTGTCATTACAGGAAAGACGTGTGGAAAAGAAACTGAATAGAGCGGCTTTCAAGGACGAAAGGAGGCGACAGGAAAAGATACTTATGAACAATAAATATAATAATAAAATATCTTTGGTGTAAGTGCTTTTCTTGCATCTAGAATAATTTTCCTTTATTTTTACATAGGCTTTCAACACTTTCTATGCTTATCAGATGTTAATAATATTATATTTGTTGCTCTTTATATTGCAATTTATTACCTAGGTGTGTGATCTGCAATGAACCAGAGAAATATTATGGAAGTTGTGGAAATATAGTGTCCAGTGTGAGTGTATTTGAGAAAGGAACTTACCAGTATCCTCATAGTTCAAGAAAACTTGTGACCAATTTAAGGCCTCCAGCTGATTAATATTGTTAATCATTTGGAGCTTTGGGGTTGGCTAGTGAATACTGTATCCAATAAACTTATTAATCCAGTTGCTAAGCAAATGCTGTTTATGCCACTAACTTGTTTGCACGAAATATATTCAGCAGTAAGTCTCAATTTTTGCATGTTTCATTCCATTATCGCCAAAAACAAAATACCTTGATATATCTTGTTTTGCATACCACGTGTATTTAACTAGGAGTTTTCAATATTAAATTGTTTGTGCAACGGTCTTCAGTTTTATTTTATAATCTCAACATTACTCTGTAGAACTGCACACCATATACCATCTCGAATATTTATCTGTATGTTCTGCCAATATACCAAATATTATGAATATTAATTTATGTTTCATTTACCTAATCATATATATATAGCAACACACACCTCTCAAGGGAGATTTCTTGAAGCCATGAGGTGCTCTTTTTTTTATGGAATTACTTGTGCTGCTCTGTGTTGGACTGAACCTGAATGCCTCCCATGACCCCTGTGGATTTAGCACTTCCCCCACGAATGTAATACATGACTGCTCTGGGTTTAGCACTTTCCTGTATAAGAAAAATACAGATATTCCATGAATGTAAGGAAAATTCCACTTGGAGCAGTTCTGTATAGCTCATGGCAGCACCAGTAACAGCCTGGTTGATCAGGCTCTGATCCACCAGGAGGCCTGGTCACAGACTGGGCCGCAGGGGCATTGACCCCCGGAACACTCTCCAGGTAAACTATGACCCTCGTGGGATTAATGCATAGTTATGTTTATAATAATAATGTATAATTCACATGTTTTAACATAACCACCTACAATCAAATATGCCTTCCATTATCCAGGTGATTTATGACTCCTATGAGTTTAGCAGTTGGTTTGATAGGATTATTGGGTTTAAAACCTACTGACAGTAAGAGGGTCATTAGACTGCATGTCAGCTATACCTCGGTTTAATTCCTAAAATAGGGATTAGTCATAGTAAATCTATACATTTGAGACATAAACCTCTTGATGTATATAATACTTTCCTATAAGGAATGGAACATATCAAAGATTATAGAAGTTATAAGTAGTTATAAGCTACCTTAAGGCTACCCAAAATGCTCTGCACACCCAGAGATTTTCTATAATGTATGCCTATCACCTTTTTTCCCCTCAAGGAAGGTTCCTTGATGTTGGTGAGGGGCTCTTGATTTAGGGAATTGGATCTGTGCTCCAGTTCCCCGAATTAAGCCTGAATGCCTTCCACATCCCCCCCCCAGGCGTTGTATAATCCTCCGGGTTTAGCGCTTCCCCCTTGATTATAATAATAATAATACATGTATCACCTTTTTTGAACCAATTTTAAACCATGCTTTATATAAACAGCCTCCCCCTTGATTATAACAATAATAATTTATATAAAAAAAGTTGTTCAGCACTTCATTTTTATTATAATAAACTTTATCATATAAACCACTGAAGCATAAATATGAGTGTGAAGGGAATGCTAATGAGTATTCTGACTGATTACATAGGGTTCCTAATGGAGTGGGAGCATAGATAAGTGTTGCTGAGATTACATGTATCTGTGATGAATCTGTAATCAGCATCTGAGAGCAACTTTTGGGGGTTGGGGGGCTTACAAAGCAGCAGCCTGACAATCAGGTGCTTGAGTGAGACTTGACTACTGATTGTAAACCCAAGCACTTTTCACAACGAGTGCTCCAACGTTGTCACCACTAACACACTTCATCCTCCCTCTTAGCTGACGGCTCCACCTTTGATACCTACTCCCTCTTGACTTTTTGACGCAGCAGGTTTATTACACAACCTTTGATTATAATTTCTCTAGCACTCTTCACAGCCCTTTCTGACTCTTCCCCCTGTTGTCCACTCCACCCTTGCTACTTTCTATTTCTGCAGTATCCCCTGCCCCAATGCACTGTATGACCCTTGTAGGTTCAGCACTTTTCTTTGATTATAATAATAATCTACCTCTATTATACTCTCCACCCTCACTAGTCTCAGATTAAGTATATTAAACCAACCCCTGCAGTGCTGTATGACCCTTGTGGGTTTAACATTGTTATGATTATATAATTCAAGGTGAGTGCTGTATCACTCGCACTCAGTGGACCTGTCCTCTCCCTCCATGGATCAGATGCTATAATAATAATAATGCTTGATTTGAAAACCTCGGAAGAATTTATGAGAACATGTAGAGGTATTCGTTTTTGTTTTAAAGGCAGGCCCTGGTTTACAGTGCTTCACTGTATGGCCCTGGTGGGTTTAGTGCTTAGTTTTGATTATAATAATTTACAGAGCTTTGCTTTACAGCATTTCGCTGTATAGCCCTTGTGGCTTAGCGCTTCTTTTTTGATTATAATAATAATAATTTACAGCATTTCGCTATACAGCAGTTTTCAATTACAGTGGACCCTCGACATTCGATACTAATCCGTTCCTGAGAGCTATCGAATGTCGAAAATATCGAAAGTCGAATTAATTTTCCCCTTAAGAAATAATGGAAATCAAATCAATCTGTGCAAGACACCCAAAAGTATGAAAAAAAATTTTTTACCACATGAAATATTAAGTTCAATGCAATAATAACAATAGAATAAATGACACTTACCTTTAATGAAGATCTGGTGATGATTGATGGGATGGGAGGATGGCAGAGTGTGGATGGTGTTAGTTTTTAGAAGGGGAATTCCCTTCCATTAGGACTTGAACTGGCAGCCTCACCATGCCTTACCACACTGTGTATGCCACTACGATTCTTAAATCTTTCAAACCAACCTTTGCTGGCCTTAACTTCACTCACATCACCATTAGTTGCAGGCAATTTCTTTACCAAATCATCATGCACTCCGACACACGCACTCCACTTTCATACTTTGCAATTATCTCTTTCTTCATTTCAATAGTCATTAGCACTTTTTTCTCGAAGGGTTGGCACTAGAAGCTTTCTTGGGGCCCAAGGTTACTTATTTTGCAGAAACAAGTACCAAAAACAGTGATAATATGGATAATATGGAATGTACCGAATGTATCCTTAGATGCGCGCACACTGGCTGGCTTGTAAACACTGGCACACACAGGGCAGTTCAGGCCACACGTGGACATGTCTCGTACGAATCGTATCGCATGTCGGGTTTTCCATCGAATGTTGAGGCGAAATTTTTGCGTTAAAATGCATCGAATGTCGGATTTATCGAATGTCGATGCCATCGAATGTCGGGGGTCCACTGTATACCTGTTCATTTATTTGGACTTCCTACAATAAATATATTCTCCACTCACTATAAGCTAAGGATAAAAATATTTTAAGGTAAATACTCCTCAAGGGAGTTTCCTTGATGCTGGTGAGGGGCTCTTGATCTAGGGAATTGGATCTGTGGTCCAGTTCCCTGAATTAAGCCTGAATATCTTCCTCCCTCCTCTCCCAGGCACTGTATAATATCCCTACAGGTCTAGCTCTCTGGGTTAATAATAAGGTAGATAATTATATTGCTCACTTAATGCATGATAGTGTAAACATGTCAATCAGATATTTATATGCATTTGAAAGTGAAAAAAAGGCTATGATTCACTTTATAGCGATTTTTTTTTTTTTACAGGAGGAACCTGGAACCTAACCTGCTGTATAAACGGGGCCCTCCAGTAGCTCCGAACCTAACCTGCTGTATAAGCGGGGCCTTCATGTATTCGAAAAATTATAGCTGTATAATCCTACAGGTTTAGTGCTTCCCTGTGATTATAATAATAATAATCTAATAATTATATTAACTGTATTGGAGTGACTGCTTCTTCCTTGGATCAAACCTTATCACCTCATATTTTCCTGGTTTTGTATAATTCGCCCTGTGGGTTTAACGCTTCCCAATGAGTATGCTAAAAATAATAATTCCCCTTGCAGCACTACATGACCCATGTGGGTTTAGTGTTTAATTATGATTATTATTATAATCCCCTTCCTTGGATCATACCTAGCTACCTCCCATTTGTCAGGCACTGTTGCTAAAGTCAACTGCTGTTGTAGGTAACTGCTACTGTTGAAGGTAACTCTTCTACTGTTGTAGGTAACTGCTACTGTTGTAGGTAACTCTGCTACTGTTGTAGGTAACTCTGCTACTGTTGTAGGTAACTGCTACTGTTGTAGGTAACTCTGCTACTGTTGTAGGTAACTCTGCTACTGTTGTAGGTAACTCTGCTACTGTTGTAGGTAACTCTGCTACTGTTGTAGGTAACTGCTACTGTTGTAGGTAACTCTGCTACTGTTGCAGGTAACTCTGCTACTGTTGTAGGTAACTCTGCTACTGTTGTAGGTAACTGCTACTGTTATAGGTAACTCTGCTACTGTTGTAGGTAACTGCTACTGTTGTAGGTAACTCTGCTACTGTTGTAGGTAACTGCTACTGTTGTAGGTAACTGCTACTGTTGTAGGTAACTCTGCTACTGTTGTAGGTAACTGCTACTGTTGTAGGTAACTCTGCTACTGTTGTAGGTAACTCTGCTACTGTTGTAGGTAACTGCTACTCTTGTAGGTAACTGCTACTGTTGTAACTAACTATGCTACTGTTGTAGTAACTGTTACTGTTGTAGGTAACTGCTACTCTTGTAGTAACTGCTGCAGTTGTAGGTAACTGCTACTGTTGTAGGTAACTCTACTACTGTTGTAGGTAACTCTGCTACTGTTGTATGTAACAGCTACAGTAAGCAGCTCAACCAGCTGCTGAAGCACCTCCGCTGCTGTTGCTTCTGCTGTGTGTAAGGTTTGTCAGTGCAATAATAATACTTTGCGTTCTCGCCACCTATAAATTCATAGCATAGAAAAAAATGATCACAGTACCATAGCACAGTACCATAGTACAGTACCATAGCACAGTACCATAGTACAGTACCATAGCACAGTACCATAGTACAGTACCATAGCACAGTACCATAGTACAGTACCATAGCACAGTACCATAGTACAGTACCATAGTACAGTACCATAGTACAGCAGTCAGTACCAAGCACAGTACCAAGCACAGTACCATAGCACAGTACCATAGCGTAGTACCACAGTACAGTACCATAGTACAGTACCATAGCGTAGTACCATAGTACAGTACCATAGTACAGTACCATAGCGCAATACCAAAGCACCGTGCGAAAGCACCGTACCATAGCACAGTACCATAGCACAGTACCATAGTGCAGTACCATATTACAGTACCATAGTACAGTACCATAGCGCAGTACCATAGCACCGTACGATAGCACAGTACCATAGCACAGTACCATAGCACAGTACCATAGTGCAGTACCATATTACAGTACCATAGTACAGTACCATAGCGCAGTACCATAGCACCGTACGATAG